TAAGAAAAATTGTAAAAGAAGTCAACATACCAATGTTATCAGCATTATTTTTGTCCTAGAATCAAAATATAACATCACACCAGACACTCTGAAGAACAATTAAAACCCCAGCTGATACTAAAACTTTTACATTGGTAAAGTTACTAGGGAGCCAGCCAGCTGGTCCCACTTTGATATGAATGGGACTGGGCATTCATAGGACTTCTTAAGCTCTAGAGATAATCTCTGGCATAATTTTTTAAAAGTTCATGTTCCAATTTGTAACATATATTTGAATCTGAAAACTTGGACTAGGACTGGTAGTTAAGGCATGCAAACAAATCAAAACTCTAGACTCCAAGAATTTCAGCAGAAGAAGAATTTCTAAAGCATAGTTTTTGGCCAGTGTATCTGAGAGACCAGAAGGAGGAATCCTCTGTTCACTAATGTATCAGTATCAGGATACCTTGTTCAGATAGGAGAGTTTTCTTTGCACAGACACTGTGACATTTAAAGAAAGAAAGAAGAAAATACCAAACAGTTACTGTTTTTCCCATCATCTCTCCTTTGCTAGGTCTTGCCAGTTAGAATATTTCAGGTATTTACAACTTTAATGCAAGAAGCACGAACAATACTCAGTACACGTTTATCTGGTTAAACAAAACAAGCACAGAGCAAAACAGAATCCCCCTTTATGAAACTTTATTCTCAAAGACTTTTCTGTAGATAAAAATATGCCAGGAATTACCTGCAATTAAACACCCTGGCATAAGCAATGGCCTGACATAGGACTTAAGCATATTTCTAGGATTAGATATTAAGTATGAATAATTACAACCATACAACTGTCCTCTTTATTATCCAGATATCTCCCTTATGCAACACAAATCTAAATAAATTCGAAAAGTGTGACTCATACCCATCCACTGTGCACTAAACCCAATGGTATGCAACCCCATTGTTCAAACTTCAGTAATTCCATTCAGAGCTACCTTTTGTTCCTCTGCTTTGTCAGTCAACCCACTTTAATACCCACAGAGGCTGTTAAATCTATAAAGCTTCTGAATTTTTGCATTGCTCATCTTGTTTCAAAAGCTTATTATACAACATAGCAGTTCTTTTCATGGTACACACTGATTAAGAGTGGATCCACTGCTGCTTTGTCCAAGTGGGAGCATCACTGTGCTCCTATCAAAGGCCATGCCCAAATTAACAATTCACTGTCCCAGCTGCTACCTAGGCAGTCAGCCTCTGCGTGTCATGTACTTGTTCAACTCAGGTTGCTTAAGGAAGATTTCATATTAGTGGTATTATCTTCTCAATGTTCTCAAGTGACATAAACATCTTTTTGATAAGGACAAAAACTGATAAGGCTTAAAAACTGATCCAGCGCTTTTGAAACAAGTTGCCTTTTTTGTTAAAATAAAAGTTTATTTTGCAAAGCAGTTCCCAGGACAGGCTAAAGGCCAATGTCTGCAATTCTAGATTTCTGCATACTGCATACTATTCTCATCCCTGGACCTTTAGCAAGATTTTTAGCTCTTTCATGCCCCAGGTTCCTTGTCACTTTGCTGAGGATCATAAAAACAACTTGAAATTTTAATTAGCATTTTCATGCTATCTCATAAACCAAACTCACAGTCTTCTACCTCAATGAAAATGCCACTGAAGCATTTCAAGAATTAGTTTCCAGATGTCCTATTCCCCTGTACAGTCCCTGTGGTACAAAAGAGGTCGAAACTATTGAGTTTGTTCATCCCTGAGATGAGGAGTCTAATGGGAATTGTTTGCAGACACCTCAACAGAATGTGCAGGAGGAATGTGAGGGCATTGAGCCAGACCTGGAAGTGTAAAGTAAAACAGAAAGAGGCAATGGACACAAGCTGAAAGATGGGAAATTCTAGTTACACGCAAACAAAATGCTGCAGGTTTAGAGTGTGTGGAAGCCCCATTAGTGGAGATAATCAGCCCTAGGCTGGATAAGGCCTTGAGTAATGGGATGCAGCTGGAATTGGAGACGCTTCAAGCAGCAGGTTAGACCTAGATGGCCTCCAAAGTTCCCTTTCAGTCTAAATTATTCTATGAATCAATGAAAATGATTCCCTCATACTTAAATGAATATTCCAGTAACCAAAAGAGCAGAAAAAGGTAGCTTGTGCCAATACATCCTTCCTCTCTTGTTCCCTTTTCCCTCCCTCTTCCTTGTATTTTTGCCAAATCCCAAACTCATAACTTTCTCTAGAAACACCCTGAGGGTAACTTCAACATTTTTTCTTTAACTATGATAATCCTTTACCTTTTACATAGCATAGTTCACTTTCTCATTTCATTTCATCGGGTGGTACTCTAAATATAAAGTTAAGGAGAATCCAGAATTTTTTTTTTGCAAACAGCTGTAGGCCCAAAGATGCTCTGATGATACCCGAATACACTACAAAATGCTTTTGTTTGAGCCACTGTGTGTTTTTATCCGTATTTATGCTCATTTCTGTTAAGAAGTCCAACTCACACACATTATTGTTACATGCATCATAACTGTTCATTGACAGTAGAGACATTTTAATTACCTTTTGAACCTGGTTAAACAATAACACAAATAATTATCGCGACTCACTTCCTTAAATGTAAGAGAAGACAGATTTGTTTATTTGATTTTCTAACAGTTTCACTACTTTCAAACGATGCATTTACATTAAATTACATTTCATACTCTTTTTCAAGAACTTTTATCTATTATATAACTTGTTTTATTTAGAGATCTCAAAACAGTTTACCCACAAAGATAAAAGCAAAAAAATGAACAAAAATCAAAGAGCTTACCAGTGGCACAATCTACAGTTCACTGTTAAAACAGAACCTCGAACATCCAATTCCCTGCTGCTCAGCCCACAACTCTGACACAAATATGCAACTTAACAGTCAGGAAATACTTCTGGATGCTCTTGTCAACCATAGAATCATAGAATGACCTGGGTTGAAAAGGACCTCAGTGATCATCCAGTTCCAACCCCCTGCTATGTGCAGGGTCGCCAACCACCAGACCAGGCTGCCCAGAGCCACATCCAGCCTGGCCTTGACTGCCTCCAGGGATGGGGCATCCACGACCTCCTTGGGCAACCTGTTCCAGTGCCTCACCACCCTCTGAGTGAAAAACTTCCTCCTAATATCTAACCTAAAGCTCCCCTGTCTGAGACCATTCTCCCTTATCCTATCACCATCCACCCTCGCAAACAGCCATTCCCCTCCTCTTCATACACTCCCTTCAAGTACTGGAAGGCCACAATGAGGTCTCTCTGGAGCCTTCTCTTCTCCAAGCTAAGCAAGTCCAGTTCCCTCAACCTTTCCTCATAGGAGAGGTGCTCCAGCCCTCTGATCATCTTAGAGCCCTCCTCTGGACTCATTCCACTAGCTCTGCATCTTTCTTGTACTGGGGGCCTTAGGCCTGGACGCAGTACTGCAGATGTAGAAGGGGAGTTGAATATGAGCAAGTTCTCTCAATTTGCAAGGGGTCACGCAGCTTTTCAAATTGCACTCTCAGAAAATGTTATTCCTAGAGCAGAGCAGCTTTGCTCATGGGCATGCTCCTCAAAAATGTTTTACCATCCGTTCTTGTTTGCAGGTAGAATGTTTCCCACAGCTATCCCTGAGGAAGCATCCTTTCACAGCATGTCTATGCCACTCCAGTTGCTAAGGTCAACATTTGTTTTTTACAGTTCTAAAATGCACTACATGCTGAAAAATACAAAACATCTAGAAATACTGTAAACTAGTAGATAGTTCTCACCTATACAAACGGGAAAGAAACTCAGTGGAATTCAAATGATTGTGATAATCATCACCAGCAGCGAATGAAGACATTACCTGCACTGCTATTTTCAAAGCAGCGACACCAGTAATAGGGAAGAAAAAGAACTCAGAGTATTCCTAAAAGTTCACTAAATCTTTTTAATTCCAAAGCAAGATAAATTTCTCATGCATATTTACATCATGAGCCCTGCATACAGGACAGGCACAGCTCTGCTTTCCATGGTCGTCAATGTGCCTAGCAAATTTTTTTCTCCCCATTTGTGCCAGGTCATTGAAACGAGACAAAAAACATTGTAGGCAAACATCAGGGAATTTAACAGGGAGATTTCCTCTTCCCAGTTCCTGTGCTTCTTTGTTCTTGAAAGCTCAGTCTGCAGTCAGAGCTACTTTGCCTAAGGTTAGAGGATATTTGAATATTTTAGTTTTGTTTTATAGGAAGACGGGCTCTCAAGTCAGTGACACAATTTTACTACTTAAAAAAATATATATATATCACTTTTAATTACTCCAGAGCTCTATTTAATGTCCCAGTAGTTCCCAATTATAAAGCTGGCCCACTGATAAAGCAGATCAAGCTGAAACACACTGATGCTACATTACATCCACTCTAGAGGAATGAACCAACCTGTCCTACGTTTAGTGAAAAAGAATGAAGGAAAGAATGTAGAGAAGGAATGAAAGGAGAGAGGAAAAAAAGGAGGGGAGGCTGTGAATAGAACTGGCCTTCTTGAGCACCAAGATGTTTCCGCCATCTTTCTCCATTTGGCCACTTTTCCTGGAAGTCCCAGATGAATGGTCATGGTGCACACTTGAGGAAGACTGTTAAGCAAAACAGACCTGGCTGGCCTGAAAGGGTCAAACAGGGAACACGCGGCCCCTCCTGAAAGGGAAGGACTGCCATGTGGAACATGCAGCCCCTCCTGAAAGGGAAGGACTGCCATGTGAAACTGGCAAGCATAAGCTACAGCTTCTTCGTTCCGTGACCAAGAGCAGAACGTGTTCTGTGGAGAGAACACCTTTTGATCACTGTACTGACCATAATCCACAAAGAGCTAATTAAGTAATGATGTATTGCTGTCAGCTGCATGAATGTTATCTGATTTAAGTATTGTATACTCCTGTAGCTAAAAGATATAAAAACCCTGTAACAACAATAAACTTTGCTTCTTGCGCCACCAGAGCCTAAGCCCGTCTGTCCCAGGCGTCTTGAGCTGGTCTCCGTCATCTGGTGCCGAAACCCGGGATACTCGGACTCCAATGACAAAGGCGTCGCTTCCTCCCACGAGCCGCGGTTGGTAAGTTGAAATAGGGAGGTAAGGACTAGGGAATTGGACAGATTGTTAAATAAAATGGGACAAGCTGCAAGTACTGAACGAGGCATTTTTTCTGCAATGCTGAAATCATTATTAGTTGCCCGAGGAGTAAAAGTGACTCGGGGTCAGATTAGTCGTTTTTTAGATTTTATAGAGGAAGTATGCCCCTGGTTTCCCAGGGATGGAACTATTAATATTGAAACTTGGAACAAAGTAGGTGAAAGACTCCAGGGCTATTATGCTGTGCATGGTCCTGAGAAGGTACCTATTGATACCTTTACTCTTTGGACTCTAATAAAAGAATGTCTCAGAGGAGACACAGGAGATGAGAAGTGGCAGTGGACCACTCGCTCAACAGAAAAGTTATATCCTGCCTTGCCGCGATCAAAATCTCTTGATCATATCCCTTCGTCCATGCCATCGGCACCCCCATCCTCCCCTCCCCAATATGAGCAACCTTTGATTTGTAAATTAGCAAACGACTTGCCGCCTTGTAAACCTCCTGGCACTAACATGACAAAGGATATTTTACCCCCTGATGACTGGGGAGAATTAGAAAAAGAGGCTGCTGAATATCACCATAAGGACTTAGCGGCTGTATTCCCAGCGTTACAGGTTGCTAATGCTGCTGTGCAGACACAACAGATAGTCGATCAGGCTCGATCACATCCCCTTGCTGTTTTGCCTGCCTTTCGAGCAGGGCGAATGCCTCCCCCACCTGGAGTAGATGCTTTGCTTATGCAAAAATCTCCTATGCAATTGGCTTTGAAAGAAGCTAGGAAAGCTGAGGAAACAATAGATGAATTTTCTGGGCAACTTTTTTCGTCTCAAGTTTTCCCTGTCATACAGCATCAACTTGCAAACGGTGGCATTCTGAATGATTATGAGCCTATTCCTTTTAAACAACTGAAAGAGCTTAAAGCTGCTAATATTCTTCCCCCTTCTGACTGGAAAAGCTTGGCAAAGGCTGTGTTAAGTGAAGGTGAAAATTTGCTTTGGACTTCCGAATATGCGGAACGGTTCTTCTTGTGCCCCTTTATTACCAGTTCCTCATATTGGAGTGAACCCCTGAGGATTAATGCCTAATGATTTATGGCAGATGGATATCACACATGTACCTTCTTTTGGAAAATCTTCTTATGTCCATATAACAATTGACACTTTCTCTCACTTTGCAGTAGCCCTCAGCCTTGTCTGGTGAAAAACTCTCTCATGTATGCAACCATCTTTTGCATTGTTTTAGCGTTATGGGAACAATGAAATCATTAAAAACCGATAACGGGCCAGCTTATGTAAGTAACGGTTTTGCAACCTTTTGTCGACATTTTAAAATTTACCATAAAACTGGAATTCCATAATCCAGAAGGCCAAGGCATAGTAGAAAAATTTAATCATTTATTGAAAACTCAACTAAAGAAAATAAAAAGAGGGACATGAGGAAATAAAGATACTCCATCCTCTATGTTATCACATGCATTATTTTTTTTAAAATTTTTTGACACTGGATGATAATGGAAAATTGGCTGCGAATAGATATTGGAGTAATAAAACAAGAGATAAACCAATACAATATTGGAGAAATCCAATGGACGGTAAAATTTATAGTCCTGATCCTGTACTAATTTGGGGCAGAGGATATGCTTGTATCTTCCCTACAGATGAAACCTCACCATGGTGGATACAGGAGAGATATGTCCGACATGCCAAAAACAAAGATGGAAAACTGCGGAGGAAGATGCAGAGACTGACACTAACCCAGACGTGGGAAAGAAAGATGCAAGTGAGAATACGACTCGTGGCCCTAATCCTTAGTACCTTTTGGATCCTACATCATGGCTGTAAAGCAGAAACATATTGGGCATTTGTACCCAATCCTCCTATCATTCATCCAGTAACATGGGATGAACCCGTGGACATTCCGGTTTACAACAATCAAACAATGTTTATGGGGCAATATTCAGATGGACACATAATAGAGTTCTCTGCGCGTTTTAATTATTCTGGAAAGGTTGATGGTATGCCTATATGTTTTCAGATGAATCAAACACAATCCCTGTGTGAGAAAGTGGTAGTGCAAAATGATTGGGATACCAATGTTTCAACAGGAATTCATTGGGCTCTGAATTTTCTCTATATAGATTTAGCTAATGGGACAAGAGGTTCTGGAATGCCTCCCTTAAATTTTCCTTTATGTCAAAGCACAATCACTCCAAAAACAGAATTTGCACCTTTATGGAGAGCATGTCGAGCTAACGAAACGGTGTGCATTAATTCCATTATCTGAGATTGGAATATGATAGGAAATCAAGGGCAACCAATTAATTTGGTCTCAGGAATTTGGACAAAAAACAATCATACGTTCTATTCTAATTTATGGAAAGCAGTCGCAGCTATGGAAAAAATCAAAGCAAAACGATTAAACTTGACTTGGATTCAAATAAATAATAAATGGGCAATGACTGCAGAGAGTTATACAACTGAATTTTATATGCGAGCTTGTGTTCCAGAACCTTATGCCTTTTTAAGCGGACCACTAAATATTGTGAATAGCATAGTGAGTTGTACCGATTGTATAATCTCTAATTGTCTTAATAGTAGCAGTAGTTCCTTCTTGTTAGTAAAGCAACCCGATTATGTCTATCTTCCTGTAAATTTGACACATTATTGGTATGCTGATAAGGGAATGGAAATTCTCCAAGAAACTTCTTTGCAATTAATAGAGAGATCTAAGCGAATGGTCGGATTAATAATAGCCGGAATAGCTGCGCTCATTGCTGCCATAGCAGTAACTACAGTAGCTTCTATTTCTTTAACAACTAGTATTCAGACAGCAGCTTATGTTAATGAATTATCAATTAATGTATCTAAAGCATTACAAAATCAAGCTACATGGGATGAAAAGATTGAACTGCGTCTCAATTCCTTAAAGGATACAGTAGACATCCTGGGAAGATAGTTACAAATTATAGCTACTCGTGAATCTCTCTTATGTCATGCAGAATACCGAGCTATCTGTGTGACTCCTGTTGAATACAATAATACTAAATTCTCTTGGAACAAAATACAAGATCATCTTCAAGGCATATGGAATAATGCGAACACGTCATTAGATCTTAGGGAATTGAGACAGCACATTCACGATATGATACAATCACACTATATAGATCTTTCAGTAGCAACTCAAACTACTACATTTATAAGCGCTCTAAAATCTGCATTTCCGTCCTTCAAATCATTTAGAAAAGGAATTTATGGGTTGACAGTCATTGCAATAATAATAATCATAGGAATTCTTGCTTGTCCATGCTTGATGAAAATGATAACAAATAGATTCCAAAATTTGAGTATAAATCTTAAAAAATTGGAGATGGAAAACACAAAAAATAAACCACCACCACCTCTGGTCTAATAAAATAAAAAAGGGTGGAATGAGGAAGACTGTTAAGCAAAACAGACCTGGCTGGCCTGAAAGGGTCAAACAGGGAACACGCGGCCCCTCCTGAAAGGGAAGGACTGCCATGTGGAACATGCAGCCCCTCCTGAAAGGGAAGGACTGCCACGTGAAACTGGCAAGCATAAGCTACAGCTTCTTCGTTCCGTGACCAAGAGCAGAACGTGTTCTGTGGAGAGAACACCTTTTGATCACTGTACTGACCATAATCCACAAAGAGCTAATTAAGTAATGATGTATTGCTGTCAGCTGCATGAATGTTATCTGATTTAAGTATTGTATACTCCTGTAGCTAAAAGATATAAAAACCCTGTAACAACAATAAACTTTGCTTCTTGCGCCACCAGAGCCTAAGCCCGTCTGTCCCAGGCGTCTTGAGCTGGTCTCCGTCACACACTCACAGCAGCTGTCCAGAAAAAACGCAGCAACCCTGGTTTGTACAGGAAACATCCATCCTAATCAGAAATCCCCAAAGAGGAGAACTTGAGACATACCACAGCAGAAAGCAGATCTTTCAATTACATATGACAGCCTCTAGCTCTCCCCACTTAGAGTGGGTCTGCATCTACCTCCCAAGCCACAAAAGTGGAAGGGTTAACGTTGAAAAACCTCACATAGACAACATGCTATGAATATTAACATAGATGCCAAACTGTCAGCTGATAGGGCAGAACCAGTGCAAGCGACCTCTCCACGGTGCTGCTGGTCCCCAGGCATAGCTTCCTGAGACAAGTTTAACACAACAGTGGAAGCATTCTTTTAACAACTTGCCTGCCTACCTCTCGGGAGGGACCTCCTCTCACTGCCTTCATACATTTAACTAAACTAGTTGCTCCTTCAAAGTCCTCAACATTTATTTTCTACTGCATTTCTCAAATTCACACTCGCAGTGGTGCAGCAGCTAGGCAGAGTAGGCAGTAAAGCTGTTCTCACACACGAAGCACCTGTTGCTCACCAGCTGAACTGATCAAAGTGGGAATAAAAAATTTCCATCCTTTTCTGCCCTGTGCACATCTGAAAAAATTCTGCAAGCTTTTTTCTTTCTACAAACTTCTTTCTTCTTGAACACTGATTAGCTCAATATGTAAGAAACAGAGGACTAAACTCTGCTATGAGGGAGAGACAAAGCCTTTCACCTGCTTGCAGGAAAGTAACTCAGACACTGGGCCCATCTCTGAGGAGCTCAGGAAAAGTAACACATATGGGGCTACAAGAGGTTTTCTACTTGTAGGCAGACTTTAGGGTCTTACCCAAGCTTGTATTTTAATTTATTATTTTTCACATCTAGTGGTTATCTTCCGTCTGTGCAGAAGTGTGTGATGGGGGAAGCTCTCCGGGAAGGCAGCATGTTCCCATTCCCCAAGCTCCTTAGCATGGGCAAGTCTGTGGAAATTCTACAAAGGCGTTAGAGCTCTGCAAAACTAGTCTACATAGGTTTGAAAGAAACTTGTGCAGTTTGAAGAGAGGAGACAAGCATATCAGACCTAACAGAAGCTGACCATTTCACTTCATTTGAGAAACTTCTGCCTTTATGGGCTCAAAGATAGAACGACAATCAGTCATCAAAATCTAGAATTTAATTTCTGTATTAAAAAGAAGAACACTATCTTATAGAAAGCTGCACTTAAACCACTGAGAGGAAGGCAGAGGGAACTCTGGCTGCTGTCACTCCAGTCTTCCTCATATTGTTATTAGAAAAATCCTGGAAGAAAACTGCAACTCCAGTGTGGTGTTTGAAAGCCAGCATTCCTTTATTCTCACAATATGTACTGGGTGACTTAGAGTTCAGGTTCTACATTTAAACAGTTAAGACAGACATACGAAATACACTGGCATACATATTCATTCACTGTTTTCTAAGAAATCATCAATATATGCTAGTGTCCCTCTGGGAACGTGCAGCTGGGGACTATGATGGTCTACGACCACCTATTTCTGCTCCTTTATTTCATCTTCTTCTTCATCATGGTGCCAACTGTTCAACCCCCAGCTGTTCTTCCCCAGTTTGGAAAATTTCCATTGCTTGTATTGTGACTTCAGCGCCTCTGCAAAGCAGGATCATTCAGGAAAACAAGACTGTTACCATACCAAGGGAAAGCTAAACTGGAAAGTTTTAGAACTTAGCACACATAAATTCCTTCTAATATAATTGGTCCTTACACAAATATTTTGATCCCTACTGCTAAACCAGCCTGCATCAATATGAAAAAGTATTAACAGGAGGGAATGCTGCTGTCAAAACAGGGAAATAGATCAGCCTCCAATCCTATTAGAGTCTGTTTCTTTTAGGAGCCAGCACTAAAACAAGGAAAGTCTCACCGCTTTTCCCCAACAATCCCCACACTCAGAGATGAACTTAACCAATTAAACAAGTAAGAAATGTCTTCCTGACCCCCACAAAGGGATGAAATTTGAAGCAGAAGAATATACCATTCCTTGTTTTTTCCTAGCTAATTGCAAAGTGAGCTCAGCAACTGTTTCTTGCCATGCAGAAAACAGTACATTGGCAGCTACTATGCCTGTGTATTAGTGTGATGCATGAAGATCTATTGTTTTCCATGTCAGTCTGCTTGTGTACATAAATATCAATGAAATGAAGCCCAAACAGGAACTGAACTCTCTCTGGGAACATGCCTTCATGGCATACCCAGGGAAACAGGCAATTAAATATTTAACAACTGTGCAAAAACTTCTGAAAAACAAACCCCACTGTCTTCTTTTGTGGCTATCTTTTGCATAAACTCATGCAGGGAAACTAAATAAGGCTGTTTGTTTATGCTGTTCATGCAAGGGTTATGGTTGTTTTTGTTTTAAACTAGCTTGGTCTAAATAATAAGAACAAGCCAAACAGTTCTTGTCATTGAAGAATTTGCAATGGAAATTTGTCTTTGAATACCCAGGAAATTCTATGGTACAATTTACACTCCTTTAGCAAGTATTTGGGAAACATACCAAACAACAGCATATTGTATTACATATAGTTGAAGAAACCTAATCTATAACAACAGGCAGTATGTACTGGGGAAAACCATATTTGTTCTGCTGTACAAACAGACATTAAAATGTCATTTTAAAGACAGGTTATTTTTTTGTAATTTGCATTGGATATTAGTTGGCACCCCAAAATGACCAGATTTTACACACTCTGCAGACCAGCTAAGCCAAAGTCCCCCACTCTGCTGGCAAATCTGTGCTTCAAATAGAGGTACAACTGTGGCACACATGGACACACCTGACCTAGTTTTAGGCAGTTGCTTGTGCTAACATTACCCAGGTCTGTCCAGTACACTAGGTCTCTTTTCAAATATGAATTTGCTGTATTATATTCATAGGTTATGATACTTTAGAAGAAATACCGCTTCCTATACATCAAACAGAAAAGGGAAAGAAAAAAAAAAAGAGCTTTCTAGCAATTCAAAGCTATTTATCAAAAGGGGAAATGGTTTTTGTGGTGGTTGTTTATTTCTGAAAGGATTATCAAAATGATTAAGTGTCAAGGCAACAGCTGTACAGAACGGCGACTTGCTGGATGCAAGGCCCTCCCAGAATACCTGGGAGAAGCCACTCCTCAAAAATCTTCTTCAACTCTTGCTGTGACTGAAAATTTTCTACAACAGCAGAGTGCCATCTGCATAACAGGATCCTGTTGCAGTATCCATCTGATAGGACAGAGAAAAGGATAACTTCACCAATCTTATATTTTAAAATTCATGCAAGTGGGAATGGTGTTCACACCATGGCTGAAATGAAGGGTACAAGTGAGTGGAGGGGCTGGCTGCTTCCTCACTGAAGTGACTAACACACACCTATAGACAGTTACAAAGCTGGTCATTGCCTTACATCTCCCTCCTGCCCAAAGCCATCTGCTCCTTCTGGAGCTGAGGTTTCACCTAATCATACAAGACAGCTGTCAAAGGAAAGCATATGAACCACAAAAACCTGAGTGAGGCTTTGCCGTTTTTTCTGTTCTCATTTATTGCTTGAAAGTTCAGAGTAATGCTTATAAAAAAAAATTAATCAATTTTACAAGTGGATGAAAATGCCCAGAACAAGGTATTTATAATGCTTTGAAAAGAAAGCCAAGATGATGAGAAAGAGAAGCAGAGAATGGAGCAGCCAAGCAGTTATAAGGGGCAATTCTGTGACCTTTTCTATCACTTCTGCAGAGTTAAGATTAATGTTCAGATTTCTTAAAGAAAAAGGAGACGGGATTGAAGGAAAAACATGGAGAAGATACAAAATAAAATTCAGGAAGAACAAAGGAAGGACAGGGGGTCCCTGCAAAACAAGAAAAAGAAAAAGCGGAGAAGAGTTTTATTTACAAGGATCTGGTTAAACAAACTTCTCTTGCAGGTATATAGCAGGAGATGCCAGCTTAGCAGCTGCCTGTAAATATTGCTTGCTGGGCAGAACAAAAAGTGATAGAATTTACAGGATACAAAGATCTAGTTGAGCAAAACAACAAACTTTAAACCCAGATTACAAAGTGTATATAAACAAAGGAAATGAAGGGGAGAGGGCGGGGTGACTGATAGGCAAATTGAGAAGAACATGAACCCCAAGTACCTCAGCAATAGGGAAAAGGGGAAGGGCTCACTAATGTTCAGGACATAGGGACAAAACTGGGGCTGTGTCCTCCAGAACTTTGACAGGCTCACTGGACTCTTTTTATTCAAGCAAAGAAAGCTGAAGTTTCTCCACTGCCTTTTTTGGCAGAAAGATGACTGACAAAGCTTACAGGAGCAGAAATTTTCCCAGCAGGATCTATCCAAGCAGCAGTAAGGATTACACCTGTCCCATATTTGACTACAGTTCATGTCTAGCAGGAGAGCAAAACAGCAAAGATCCTTAGGCAAAAAAAGACAAGTGAATCAAGAGGGAAAAAGAAAAGAGTTCAGAAAATATCACAGACTGGGGAGAGCACTCAAGTCACCCGAGGTGAGTCACCTGCTGAGACTTCACACATACCAGGACCGGCAGGCAGCACTGCCTGGGGACACAGTCGTGAGATGGGTCAACCAGTCCAAAGACAAAGCAGAGTCCATCTGGAAGGTTTAATGATTTTTCCAGCCAACTGCTTCAAGGCTCTCAGTCCAAACTTACCTGAAAACTGAAGCATAAAGGCTCTTCAGAATTTAACAGCTGATTCTGTCTCAAGTGTGTAGGCTGACAAAGCAATTTCTACTAGCTGAGCTACTTTGAGTTGCAAATAAAAAATGCAGGGTTCTCAAAATTTCATTGTAGAAGGAATCCTGTCAGCTTTGTGGGATAAAGCATTTGTAGTTGTATATAAAAATAATGCAGCGGTGCCACAATGTTGATTTCTCTGGTTTACTCTTTGAAAAGCAAAGAAACATTGCCCTCTATTTAGGACAATAGGAAGAGTACACCTCCTCTCTTTCTTCCAGCATTATACCACAAGCATTTTACATACTTGGTCACACCCTAGTCATTCAGTGAAATGGAAACATTTGTCTATTTTATTTAAACTTACTTTCTGATTAAGAAATCTGTCAAAAAACATGTCATGCACCCTGCTGTCCATATGAAAGGTGAAAGGGTGTATTTACATCAGTGGCATGAGAAGGAAGGCTGTGGAGCCATATGTTCATTTACTGTTTTTTGGTTTTTTTAAAATATTCTTGTTCCCTTTCACCAGAAAAGCGCTGGGGGAGTAAAAGAATTTTGTTTAACTGGGTTAATGTAAGATTGTATTGATGTATCTCATTGGGTCAGTGTGGTGTTGTGTGTAGATGCTTGGTGAACATCCTTGATCTTATAGCACAACATATAGCAAGAATTACAAAACTATTTTATACAGCCTAAATGTAGTTATCTATTTTGATCTGTATTTCCATGCAATCTTCTTCCTTCAGAATGCTTTTAATGAGCTACTGGTCAGAATATGCTGAGGTTTTACAGCTCAGCTGGACTGTGCCATACATCTCATGAATATAAGCCTTATTTATGAGCACTAAAAGCATGAAGTGACAATGCTCAGTTTTCTGTTGAGGATGGATGAGACCAGGCTCTTCTTGGTAGTGTGTAACAAATATGACAATGGCCTAAAACCTGTACGTAGGAAGTTCCATACTAACATGTGAAAGAACTTCATGGTAAGGGTGACAGAGCACTGGAACAGGTTGCCCAGATTGATTATGGGGTCTCCTTCTATGGAAATACTCAAGTCTCGTCTGGACACCGAACCTGTGCGACCTACTGTAGGGTACTTACTTTAGCAGGGGGTTTGGACTCGATCTCTTGACATCCCTTCCAAACCCTGTGATTCTGTGATTCTGTGAAATAAGAGAAGTGGAGCCTTTCCCATTCCTGCCCTTGAGAAATTTGCTTCAGCATTAGAAGGAGATAAACTCTGTTTATATTCCTGGAAAGATTATGAGATTATTAAGATGATGTCTGGACAGTGCTTTGAACATTTAGAAATGCTGCATTATGCTAAGCATTGGAATGAATAATGTTCCCTTCCTTTTTAATACCCTCATTTCCAAATACATACAGGCAGCCAAAACACAGAGTTGAGTATGCCAGAAATTCTGGTGTAAATCCCTGGCATCACACCAGTGTGTTCTTTCATGTGAAATTAAAACCTCCTATTTGAGTATTAGTTGAAACAAAAGATGGGCACTTGAATAGTCAAAGGGAAAACAAAAAGGGAAGAGAGGTGAATGGAACAAATTGGACTGAGCTAACCTGTCTGTTCAACTCTAACCAAAGGGCAGCTGAAGAAAAACACTTTTTTTGCTCAGCTGCTATTGATGTTAGTCATAAAATATCACATGAGACTTGCCAGGAGGTCCTGACCAGTTGCACACTCATTTAGATGCCCATAATTCAACTCATGCAATTTGCTACATAATGTCTTCCTCTTAAAAGTCCAGTGTTAAGGGTTCAGTCTTGACTCAATATAGCTCTTTTGGTGGGACGTTGGAGAAATCCATGTTTTCTGCACCCCATATACATAAACCCAGATATTATAATTAATAATTTAACTTAAACCCTAATTTAATAATAATTAAAATGAGTTTTGCTAAGCTTAAGTCTGTTTTTTTATGGCGAAGCAGCTTAGAATTTCACACTAAAAGCTATTATAAGACATTATGTCCATATTCACTTAAAATTTAATAGCACTTAAAAAGAGAGAATATCCACTCAATAACAACATTATTTCTTAAACAGCAATATTAAAACAGAATACATATTCCCACAAGTCCCAGGAAAGCACTAAAGGGCAGCTCAGTTTGTCAGAATGGGAAGAACCACAAAGCCTCAGAAGCCCTGGAGAGCAAACCAGACAAAAGCAGGAAAGGCACAATGATTGAGATGTGCTGCATGGGTACAGGAGACCTGCTGGTGCCACAAAGGACACAGGACCCGAGCACAGTTCACCTGGCCCCGGTCTGCTCTTATAACATTGAATCTGCTTGAATACCTCAAGGACTTTTCTTCCTTTTCTATGAAGGTTGTGCAAGACAAAGAAATTCCAATTGCTGCTGCCCGTGCTTGGGAAGGGGAATCTTCTGGGCAAACGGTGGATGGTGTTGGCAGGCCTTCACCAAAGCTGTGATGGATTGCTGTGCTTGTCTGCGACACCAGCTGGGTTCTCAGAATGAGAATGACATGTCCTAGCCACATCTTGGTATCCTTCTGCCAGCTCAGCTTCTTGTGACTAAAGGTAGAAAAGATGTGAATGCAGCCAGGACAAAGAGCAGTGTGGCTGTGTGCTGGGGAGGGCGTGAGAAGGTTATTTTCCACGTTTGAAGAAAATAATCCAAGGGGATTTAAAATTTTTCATTACTTTTCTTCTCTTCACAAAGTCCATAATAAAAACAAACCATATTAAGCATAAATGAGCCTACCAGAACTCATGAATAACTTGCATTCTTCCACTGGAGCTTGGCCAGTTACCCTTGGAAAGAATTCCTGTTTACTTTGCAGTGAATGTGAGAGACGCACGATCTTCCAGAGGCTGTTACGACAGTAAAAACACAGCCAGAGGCAGTCACAGATCACAGAGAAAGTTAATTTGTTAATTTCAAGGACAAAGATTAAAATAATACATATTCTTTAAAAAGTTATTTTCTTTATCTCATAGAAGATGAGTTTACATGAAAGCTGCTCTGCAGATACTTCAGCCATTAGCTTGTTTTTCAAAGCCAATTAGATTTACAAAGAAAACTAGTTCCTCTACCAAAAGCGGTGTTCTCTGTTGGACTGAGATGACTGTCTCATTGCACCTACATCTTTCTGCCAAAAAGCCTCAGTCAGGCTGCACAGGGAATTCAGATGCCAAAGTCCTTGCTCAAGGCATTCCCAAAATCTGCAAAATTTGGAGGATGATCAGACGTGCTTCCCGTTCCTGCTGTTTAGCAGTTCAGTCCTAGAATTACTGCTACATAAGTTACATCCTGAACTGGTAGGCCCCCTAATGCTAGAAATTACAGAAAACACATATTTTCAGTACCCATGAGCCTGCATTTTGAGGCTTGATTAAGGAAACTAGCTTATGTGAGAGGAAAGTAAGTGTGATATACAGCCCTTACAGTGCACATATTTGTATTTTTATTACTTCCTGATGGCTTTGTATACCATATTTGTATTCCCCCTTTCTTAGTAAAGCTGAATGTAAACCAAGACTCAAAGAGAAATGCACTCTCATTTTCATTTGCACTTTTACCTTTTCGTGCAACTTGTCTTTTCCCACAAACTAACCAAGGGCTTATGATCCGCAGATGTTTGCTGTCTCAAATCAGTCACATGCACACCAGCTGTCACAACTTTTCTGTCTGATATTTTTTCCTATGTCTACCTCATTTCTTTAAAGCATGTTCTCCAGTCCTTGTTGTTTTGCTTTATACTCAAGGCCAGGAACATGTCTAAGGCCTTTCCTGAACCAGAATCCAAAAACTGGTGACCTGATAACCCCCTAACAGTAGTAAAAACAGCAGAAAAATACCGCTTCAAAGAGACACGTGAGTGTGTCCAGCCTCATCAGAAAACAGAGATACCAAGAGTCATATGTAAAAGGTTGCTGACCCAAAATTGCAGACCCAAGGGACCCAAATTGTTTAAACAAGGTTCAAATAAACATCCAGACCTTCTGATGATTATCCAGACCTCTCTGAGAATCCACAAGTGTTGAGGTTCACTCTCCAGCACTCCCTTGAGTACATCCTGGAAGCAGCTTGAAGAGAGCAGCGATAAGGCATAGCCTTCCCAAAGCCAAATACAAAAGGACATTCAAGAAGTTAACTTTTAAAGCAGAGTAAATAAACATCTCTAAAGACTAGAAGTCTGGTAACTTTAGCTTTGGAAATGAATATCAAATTAAGGCCTCTTTAATTCTGAGTATGACTAATCACCCAGAAGATTGTTTGACTAATCCACATTACATTCATGTTTTAGGTAATTCAGATTACTGCTTAAGTGTTCTTGCAAAAGTGAGTCATAAATCTCATTAATATTAATTGGCCAAAGGAAGGGTGGCCTTTCATTTCACTCATTTTTCTCCATTTCTCCTATCTTAGCCCTGAAGACTGTTCAAATTTAATGTGTTAAAGCTCAAATTAACATTTTCAGGCTATAATGGGCAAAATGCTGTAGTTCTTTGTAAAGTTAAAAAGAATACAAAGGGAAGGTATTTTCAGACCTAGTTACCACTCGCATCTTATTGAAGGACCTCTGTAGAAAGCCTGAACATACATGAGTTAAGGATACAGACAAGTGGATCAATTCTGATCTGTAATGAGAGGGTGAAGGAAAATTCCTCATTTTCTGCTTCTTCCACAGCTTATTACTAAAAAAAGTCTGAATTTCCATTCAGTCTCAACCACTGAGAGCAGTTTTTTTTGTTTGTACATTTGTCTGTTTTTCACCTTTTCCAGGGCAAATGTCTAGATACTCACACAAACACAAGTCTTCCACTTGAGTCTTCCTCATGTTAGCTATCTTAGCAAGGGATTCCTATACTGTCTCCCTTCTCTTCCAGCCTTCACTTCCAGCTTACAAGCAGTAGCGCACATAAACCTCAAGTATAGTACTGTCAAACTGTAGATACATGAGATATACACATCCACTTATTTCCCAATTATTTCATGCACCTCAGATAAAGCTTTTTGCAGGGTCTGATGCATAGACTCAGATGCTATTGTTTATCCAAATTGTTTACTACAAGTTCTCACATCACTTACATATATTCACAAGTTTTCTTTCTTAAAATTTTTTTTCATTTTTTTTTAGCTTTCCATCCACCCTTTCAACTTTCCCACCCACCTTTCCATGCCAGCCGACTATTCTACAAACACTTCTTAACCGTTCATGCAGGCACTTATCCAGTCAGAGCCATGAGCCATTCCCTCTTCTTCCAGGGGTGTCCTTGGTTCTCATGCTGTTTATCTTGCTCCGCAACCTCTGCTCTGAACAGTTGGGATTTTTTTTGTATTCCCACAGCTTTTTGCATTTGCCAGGTAGTGTTTAGAGGCCCAGACTGTCAAACCTGGACTAAAATTGTTCAACTCTGGAGCACCTCTTGATAGCTAACACTTAATGATCTAAAGGCAATCTGCAGCTCTGTCTTATCAAAACCTCAAGGACAGCGTGTCTCACCAAACCTTTTTCTATTTTTCCCAAATTGCAGTAATTAGTGTCCTAGGAAATATTGACTCTACCTTCACACCTTGCTTGTTTGTCCTTGCAGGTGCGACAGCACTGTGGCTAAATCGTGAACACAGTCAGCTTGCAGCGAAAAGGCTCACAGTCCTGCTGTGCTTCCTCTCCCATGCTGGATTCTCATAGTGTCATTCAAAACATGCAAACTATCCATCACAAAGCATTACCTCTCATATCTCCCAGATCAGTGACCACCCTTAAGCAATTCTAATTACTAATTATGCCCCTTCTAGCATCTCTTTAAAAAAAAAAACCTCAGCATTTATACTTCTTATAAGTCAGGATTTTATCTACCAATACTTCTGGATTGCACATTGCTCTCAAAGGTGACTGAGAGAAACAGCATGCTATTTATAGAAAAAAACTTACAGGGTTGTAACAGGCTCTCATGCAAAGCCATTGCTTTACTTTCTTGTTTGCTATCCCTATGGAACTATCAAGCCCTGCTTTAAATTATTAACTCACATCTATTCATATGCAGCAATGACTTTCAAGACACCACAGGCTGGCTGCTAGCAGCAAAATGCTTTAAGGATGGACATTTACTACCATTTGAAATATTTTTACTTCAAAGGAAAGGATTAATGAAGATTATGGAAATGATCCCCATATTGCATTTCCACAGATCTGTTTTTCCCCTAGATACTACATAGTGAGTTCTTAAATTGCAGTACGTTAGCCTTACTGCAGAAAAGACTTTTTTTAGAGCAATGCAGAGTGGACAATACCATCTTTCAGATCTACATACTGCTTCCAACATAAAATCTTCCTTGAAGTGCCAATCCAACAGCCTCGGCATTCAGACCTACTGACCTGGACTTCTGCAGCACCACTTGAGGTAATACAAGTCCCCCCAGTCTTTCCCCATACTCAACAAAAGTATATCAATTCCAAACATGATGTTCATCTACTGGGACTTCATTTGCACTAGCTGAAGAGAATATTTCCTTACAATGACTGTACTCACTTCTGTCCTCCCTCTTGAGCTGAAGATCTAGCACAGATCCATCCACTTCATCTAACCACAGAGATGGTAGAAAATAAACACAGAGAAAATAAAATCAGTATACTATGATAATTCATCTAAATACATAAAAGAAAGACAATTTGTCTTGTCAGCAACAAAAACCTCAACAACATGCAAATGTCTCTTATTTGAGTCCCTAAGAGTATCTCAAAGTTTCATACCATGCCCTCTGCGTTGATTCTACCTACTTTATCTAAATAAAGTAACTTCACTTTTTCTATATTGAAAAACTTTTGTTTAGAGACATGAAGAAGGCATCAAATCGCAATTTTTCCAGAGTCTTGACATGCTTGAATAACAGAATCATAGAACGGCTTGGGTTGGAAGGGACCTCAAGGATCATCAAGATCCAACCCCCGTGCTACACGCAGGGCCACCAACCTCCATACTTCATACCACTCCAGGCTGCCCAAGGCCCCATCCAACCTGGCCTTGAACACCTCCAAGGATGGACGGGGCATCCACAGCCTTTTTGGGCAGCTGTTCCAGCACCTCACCACTCTCTCTTTAAAGAACTTCCCCCTGACATCCAACCTAAATCTTCCCTCCCTCAACTTCAAACCATTTCCCCTTGTCCTGCTGTTATCCACCCTTTCAAAGAGTTGACTCCCCTCCTGTTTGTAGGCTCCCTTTATGGAATGAAGGCTGCAATGAGGTCACCCCACAGCCTTCTTTTCTCCAGGCTGAACAAGCCCAGCTCCCTCAGCCTGTCTCCGTAGGGGAGGTGCTGCAGCCCCCTGATCATCCTTGTTGCTCCTCTGGACCCTCTCCAACAGCTCCCTGTCTTTCTTGTACTGGGGGCTCCAGACCTGGACACAGTACTGCAGGTGGGGCCTTACAAGAGCAGAACAGAGAGGCACAATCACCTCCTTGTGCCTGCTGGCCACCCCTCTTCTGATGGAGCCCAGGATATCATTTGCTTTCCGAGCTGCAAGAGCACACTGCTGGCTCATGTTAACTTTTCATCCCTCAGGACCCCCAGGTCCTTCTCCACAGGGCTGCTCTCAAGGACTGCTCCTTCTAGTCTGTATGGATGCCTGGGATTCCTCTGGCCCAAGTGCAAAACCTTGCACTTTGCTGTGTTGAACCTCATTAGATTCTCCGAGGCCCACCTTTCAAATCTGTTGAGAGTAGTCTAATAATGACACAAGTTACCTGGAAAGGTTGCAGAGTCTCCATACTTGAAGATATTCAAAAACTGTCTGAGCCTTCTCTAAGCTGGCCTTGCTTTGACCAGATGACTTCCAGCTGTCATAGGATATTTCAGATTGGAAAGGATCTCAGAGTACCTCTGCTTTCAAGCCTCTATTCAAAGCAGGATCAGCTCTGAAATCAGACCAGGCTGGTATATATGGTTAAGTCTTGGAAATGTCGAACAGTGGAGACTGCACAGTCTCTCAGGTTTGATTGTCCTAATGGTCAAAAAGTTACTTCTCATATCCAGTCTGAAGTTCTTATATTTTAACTTACATCCTTCTCACCCTTCATTACAGGAAAGAGCTCCATCTTCTCCATATTCTCAATAATGTCTGCATAAGTACACTGAGGTTGCTGTGACGTCCTCCAAAAGCTGTAGCTTCAACAGGCTGAAAAATGTCCATTTCCTAAGCCTCTCCTCATTCAGCAAGTGCACCAGCCCTGAGTCTTTCACTGAAATCACTTCAGTATTTAGGCTTCATTTTAACAGGATCCCAAAACTGGACACAGTACTTGGATGTGATCTAAAAAGTGCTAAGCAGAAGCGGATAATCTGTAGTTTAATTTCCTGGCCCTTGCCCTGTTCATGTTGCCCAGGATGCTGCTGTCAGGGCACAGTGGGCTCACTTCCACTCATATCCCTGGCAAGGGACTTTCCTGGAGGGCTGCCCCTCAGCCACGTAGGCCCAGTCAGGGCCACAGCAGTGGCCTTCCCAGGGGCAGGGCTTCAATTCCCTAAGCTCCATTTCTTCCCACCCTTCCACCTATTTAAGTCACTCTGAATGGCAGACCTGCTCTCAGGATGTCACCTGATTCTGCTAGTTTGATCTCACTTGAAAACCTGCTTTCTTCTCAGCATCGATCTTGAAATTATAGAATCAAAGAATCTTCGGAGTTCAAAGGAACCATTAAGTGTCATCCAGTCCAACTCCTCTGCAATGAGCAGGGACATTCACAGCTTGATCAGGTGCTCAGAGCCTGGTCCAATCTGGTCTTGAAAGTCTCCAAAGACAGAGACTCCAGCATCCACTCTGGGCAACCCGTTTAAGTTCTTGACCACCCTCACCATGAAAGACTTTTTCCTTCTATCCAACCTCAATATCCCATCCTTTAGTCTGAAACCATTTCTCCTTGTCCTGTCACAACAGACTCTGCTGAAGAATCTGTCCCCTTCTTATAGTTCCGCATTAGATACTGAAAGGCCACTAGGATAAAGATGGCCCAAGTACAGACACCTGCAGAGCTCCACCGGGTAGGTGGAATCTCTAAGTAGAGAACCAACTTCTGACCATGTCACTCTGAGCCTGATCCTCCAGCTAGTTTCTTTAAATGGATGGAGAGCCAAATGGATACTGAATCCTCCTCTGTGTTCCAAAGAGCAATTCATTTTCCCATGAAAAACTGCAGGACAAAATCTCAGAAGACGGTGCCTTTTGACCTTTAAATTAGTATTTGGTGGATTAACCTATAATATTTGTATATTGCTGGATCACTCTAAAAGCATGTTAAACATTAGGTTAGAAAACAACCGTGTGAATACCTAATCAAACAACATCTGGAGCTATACCTTGATTTGTAGGAACAAAAACAACAGAGATTCAAAGAAAACTCCTACACCCACAGATGATCCCTCTCTTTTCTAGAAGAACCACGTGGAGTATGCAAAAAATGTGCACACAAACAATTTACACATGCAAATTCAGCCCCATCGAAGAGCTAGCTTACTTTTCAGTAGCAGAGCTCTTGTTCAATACATGACTGGATCACTTCGAGGCTTGGAGCCACACTTAACAGATTTGCATCCATTCCTGCTGGAGTTCTTTGTACTTTAGGCCCTTTACCCAGCTGGAACCCTTTCTCTTTCCACCCCTGTTCACACTCATCAAGCATAAATAACAGATTTAATTACTTAAAGGAAAAAAAAAAAAGTAGGATAAAAATATAGACAAAAAACATACTCTCACAATGTCAGGATGCAGGAGATCTGCTAAAGTAATACAAGGAACATTTCTTTAATGGTGGAAAGTTTTCCCATGCCACATTAAATTGGGCTGTTTGGCAATGCTAATGCTTACTTTCCACATCACGCTCATCATTCTTTCCTTTCTGTGGGAGACAAAATCTTGTTTTTGCATAACTAACAGAATGAAATGCTGTTTTTGCATAAGTAATAAAATCTTGTAGCAAAGGGACATACTTCAGAACTCATGATACAAGATAACTTTTTGTCTATGGCTAAAGAATAGGGATAGCACTAGGCTGTGAAAGAATGTTCTATTCAGAGCTTCTGGGAGAGTCTGGCTGCACTTACGAACTCTCCTCCCTTGGAGAGATTGACAGGGGAGCGAGCAGCAAAACGTAACGTCTTTAAGACATGCATATTCACTCAGAACTGCACAAGAAAAACTTATCCAGCAGATATACAGCAGGAGATGCTGGAGTGGCAAATATTTTGTGGATTCTGCTTACTTGGAGAGACAGACTTTTGTTAACTACCTGCTTACCTGACAAAGAGATGTGTGAATGGTATGTGAATTGGAAGAAAGTGAACCTGAGCACTAGTGAGAACCAGGGGAGGGGCTCGGTGTCAGGAACTAGGAAATACAAGATCCAGTTTTCCTTGCAGCATGTGCTTATGCTTGCAGAACACCCACCATTGCAATCATGAAATAAAATACTGGTCAGTGAGGCCCTTGCCTGAGCCTAAGTTATCAGCTTGCAAGTGTTTCTCATATTTTGGTTAATTTTTTTTCATACTGTGCCTCTTGCAAGGGCCAGTTTTATTCCCAAGAGCCAGATCGTACTTTACCCAGACACGTCCTCCCTTGACAGCCCAGCAACAATCGTGTAAAGTAACAAGTGAGAACACAGCAAACACGCTGCTTAGTCAGCTGCTGCTTTACGTGACGAAATGCTCTGCCTGTGCCTAAAGATTCAGAGGGAAACCTGGATGGAATTTTTCCAATCAGAGTGAAGCTACTGAGGCTCATAATACTCACCTGAATTCAAAGATTTCCGTTATTAACATCAGAGGGAAAAAGATAACTTTGTGAAAGCAGATATTTAGTTATTAAACATCAAGGACTTTTCCACATAAACTGCATTTTACATTTTTATATTATACAACAGAAGTGATACTGTTGTCAAAATGGCTAATCTTGTCTTTTAGGAGCATTTTGAAAACTACCATATCTATCTAGCCTGCTAGAAGGGAGATTGGCCCTATCCTTAGCTAAGCAAGCATGTGTGACTGGGAGAGGTGGGGTCATGACAAGACATGGGGACAAGACAACTGTAGACCTCTCTCCAAACGCACAGACATGGTTTACACAAATGTAGATAAACAACGTACCTTTTTTCCATTGACTTTGGTGGAAATATCCCCCATGTATCCAGTGTTGTAATAAAAAGTAATGCCTGCTTCTTAATACTATATTGGTGTTAAGGAGTTTTATTTGGGCTGAAGTTTGTCTGGCAACAATATGGCATTCTGTGGGTGAGCAAAATCTGCACACTTCTTAGGTCTGCATTTTCACTTGTTCCTTGTTTTGACACTTCCTTCAGCATACAGCAGGGTGGCATCCAATTCAAAACCCAATTCAAAGTCCTCCATGCCTTCTTCAGCATACCACTGGTCACTACATACTGTAGGAAATAGACATCATCAATTTCCTTCCACCCACACTAAGAGAAAAATAGTTTTAAAGAGCACTTCTCCAATGCTTTTTAACTCTATTCCTTTCCAATGAGCTCTCAGTACATCAGTCAACATTTCTTGGGCCTCTATTTAACCAAATCTGTTAAAGCAGAACAAAGGTTCATGGCTGATTGTTAGATGTAACATGTAGACTTACAGGAAAAGTTGCTGTGGTCTGTAGCACGTGAAAGTCAGACACTTCTACTACTCAAGAGTGCATTTGCTGTCCTGCAGCCTTCAGAACAGAAGGAAAGAAGAAAAATACTAGGTCAGGTCAGAAAGAGAAGAACAAAGGCAATGAATGCAAGAGGAAAAGACAACAAAGTTATATAGAGAATATACGTCTAAAACTAGATCTCTCTGCCTCCAGCAGGGGCTTTTGTAAATCACATCAAGACCTTTTTTTGTCTTAGCTGAATTTACAGGATCCAAGAGTGAAGTGTTTGGGGATAAGGCAACACTGCCCATAAGTAACTGAGTAAAAAAACAAAACAAAACAGATTTCAAGGCTTTGCTTATTCAACAAGTAATGAAATCTCTCTTCTTCACTATTCCAACACAACTGAAATAAAACTTGTGGAAAATATCTTTAAGAGCTAACATTAAAGATATTAGAGAAACTAGGTGTCTTGCTCTGATTTATAGGAGGGAGAGGAGGTTCTTTGATACATGTATACCCAACGTGAGATTAAGAAACAATGGTTCAAATGTTGGTCTGATCAGTTTATTACAAATCTTAGTTGTTCAGGGAGATGGGGAAGAGAAGAAGGGCGATAGAAAAGATAGGAAATAGAAGCAAGGAGTCTTTGTATGAAGCAAGTGGGAGATAGTCACCACCATGGGTCCAGCGTGGATCGCAGTTCAGTCATTGATCTTCAGTAGTGGTGGGCCATTGGGTGTTGTTGTTCCATTGACAATGATGTCTTTTCAATGACAGTACAAACTTATTTATAAGTCCAAAGCAGCTGAGTCAGCTCTCCTTGGAGCAGCAGCTCCTGGCTCTGGGATCTCAGCAGAAACTCCTTTGTTCCCATCTTCCCGACCTTGCTAGCAGATAAGTGGGAGCAGGGATGTCCATTTGCATCCTGTTTTTCACAGGAAACGATGGTATCATTCCCCAGTTTTCCCATACCAAACTGGAGCTATTTAGTAACAGGCCAGATCTTCCACCAGTAAACACTCCTGAGCACTCTTTTCAGGAGGCAAGCAGCTTTGAAGGAAGGTGCTTTCAAATGTCCACAGTGATGTCAATTGTCACACAGTAGCACCCATCACTTACCTCCTCAATATATCAATTGGAGTCTTATCACAAGAAATACGTCAGGAAGCAGGCTTTGAGCCAGAAAACAAAGCAGGGTTCTCACACTAGTTTATGTTGATCTAGCTCTCACTTAGTATTTTAGAAATGATGGAATAGGAATGTGCAAACTTGCAAGTTGGAAAGCCGGCATCTGGAACCTTGCATTCCTTACATTCACGACTACTAAGTGCTCTCTGGTTCAACCAGACTTCTGGCTCTTTTTATTTATTATTTGAGAATATGCAAGTAAACTGGCTGGTGTTATTACCACATTCTTCAGGAATGGCCTTTCTTCAGTGAGGTGTTGGCAAATGTCCATTTCAGTTTTAGAACATCAGTGGTTCGGGACTGGACTGAAACATTTCAAAGCCAATATAAACATTTATTTTCTTTCATATTATATTTAGGGAAAATAAAAACTCAGCTTTTGCACAGCTTTAAGAGTTACAGATTTACTTCTGCTTTCATTTTCATCCATGACTTATACTAATGATAATCACACTGTACCTCAAAATGACAGGAGATCGTTTTCTAGCTCAAAGACGAAAGAGAGGCCCTGTTTCAGAGCATAGACAGGCAATAGAGAGGACAGTTAGTGTTGTAGGAATAGTCTTAGGAGCCTGCAGATTAATTTTAAGGAGTACAGTAATGCTTTGTAGTGCTCTAGGTCATTGACTTTTTATACAATGACATATTATGTTCTAATTGCACAGTGCATGACACATAACCAACACCAGGAACACAGTGCTAATGCAAGACAAAAGAGGGTGAACAGTTTTAAGCTCTCCTAAAACTAAGTGATAAGCATTATTATTAAAAGATCTTCTAAATATGCCTACTAGGTACCTAGAAGGTGCCTGGACCCACTGAAAACACTTATCCAGGCATGTGTATATTGCATCTTAAAAAATGATAGCCTAAAACATGAAAAATTGGACTAATAGGCAGAAAACACACACATCTGTTAACACTGTACATAGTAACCCCAAAAGAAAATGAGTTCTGTGATCCTTGTGCAGTTCTGATTTAGGTAAACTCCTTCCATTTCTGTTAAAATGCTTTACTGTCAGCATATACTTTGAACACTGTGCTAATATAGTCTTTTTGAATTATCTCAGAAAATATTCTAACTTGATGTTGGTCACAAAAAGGAGAGAAATAGACTACTGAGGCATCACTTACTTTAAATGACATCCAAGCAAATAGCTCAGAGGCAAATTACTTCATAGATGGGTGGAGATTAGCTTTAGGTCATCAGAGAGTCAATGGCAAAGAGAGAAGTGATAGCTATTCTGAGACCTTTTCAGACCTCCATCCGGCACTCCTCCCCACCGATGTCACGCCAGTGAGTGGGGGTTCAAAGCCATTCTCTAAGCCATTATTGCTCAGCCTCTGGCTCACAAAACATCAGAAAGTTGTGGCGGAATTTCTCAAGACAAGTACTGAGAAAGGTAAAAAGAACCAAGTACATCCCCTGGTGTTTCACACCTGCAGTGCAATTACAAAAGATTAAAAGAGGCAGCCTTTTGCCGCTCTGACAAGGCTGCTGAGAAGTGCTAGGTACACTATTTACCCAGCCTGCTGCTTTTGTTTGCAGTCAAACCGAGTCTCTCTTTCTTCTGCTCCTGTGTCATCATATCCTCTTCCTCACACACTACAGTGTTACAAACCTCTGTGTTATTATACATTCCAGCTACTGAAAATTTCCCTCTTTTCTGCTCCCAGAGTTTGGAACAACACAGAATCTCAATTTTCATTGAACAAAAGTAGATGTAGCCTCACTGCTCAAGATGCAACATGGAAAATAACAATATGAAAAGATAAAAGAATCACCTTATCACTGACTTGACAGCCCAAACTTGCTAACTTTTCAGCAGAAGTTCTCTTCCATGTAGGGGATAAACTTGTCTGAAGCAATCTGTGCTTGCAAGCAGACAATTTCCTATGGTCCTCCTTTTCTTTTAAAAAGGGAACCTTAGGACTGAGAAGAGGCGTATTTTAAAAAATGGATTAAATGAACTTAAATTCTGTGCTACAGAAAAGCATGCGCTCACTTTTCCCAATTCCTGACCTCTGATCTGGGTCGTCAGTAGATCCATTTGATAATTAAGAGGGAAAAATGTATACAAGTTGTTTTGGAGATAGATCAACTCACTCATCTGGCTGGCAATGAACCCATATAGTTATTTGTGCTGCTGACACAAGGGGCACAACTAGTATTTTTAGAGAAAGCAAGCTTCAGTCCTTAGGACAATTGCAGAAATGTAACTTCAGTGTGTGTCAGAAGATAGAAGTGAATATTTTGCTTGTTTTGTTTGAAGAGTCCAGACAGAAACCCTGAATCTCCCTACTGTTGGAAAAATCCAAGTAATTTTGTCAGGACAGTATCTCTGATAAAAGCAGAATTTATTCGCGATTGCAATGGCGGGCGTCCCGCAAGTAGGAGCGTGCCTATGGACACAATATGATAGCCTTTATACCCTGTTTTCTCCCCCTTGCCTTCCCCCTCCCCTGGATTCCCCAGTGGCTGGGTACTCCAGGTTCACAATCTTATCAGAAGGTTTACATTTGCTATTTACTTGTTAATTTATTTGTTATCTGGTGCCAGTCAGTAGTAATCCTGTTGTTTCCAAGATGTCTTCTCAGTGCTCTCCTTGTCGTATTGATATGGTGATTTTCTTTAAAGTCATCATCGTTAAACAAATTGCACTGGGGGATGATGCCAGGCCTTCCAATGTCTCTTCAGGCGCTTCCTCGGGCATGCCATGGCTTGTTCTCTGGTTTGCTCTCGTGCAGGATATTCTTGCAGTGTGTATGACAAAATATACATATATACACCTATATACAGTGTGCGCGTTCCTAGGAAGGTTCGTCTATACGATAAGTGATGTAAACTTATCAAAGATCTTCCCCAAGTTAAGTAGGACTCCTTGTCAGTAGCAGTTACTGCATGTCCTGCCTTACAGTTTCCTTGTCTTCACAAAACTGCTTCCGCCGATGAATCCAGGACTCCTCAGCCATGTCCCACGGTTCCTCCTGTAGGTCTGACCAACTTGCACAGTCTCTATGCAGTCGCACACTGCTGGCTTGGAGGCAGCTCTGCGTTGGTGTTCTGAGCGTTCAGCAAGTTGCTTCCTTCTCTTTGATCAGTTGTGCTTTCTGTTGAGAAACTTGATAGCCATTTAAATCAAGAAATTCAGCAAGCTCACAGTCCATTGCACACATTCCTTTGTCACTGTAGCATCCACGTACTCCAGTAAAGTTCCACTGTGAGATGGTGAACCCAAATCTCAGGCTCACGAGTTGGCCAGTTCTCAAAAATCACTGGGCTGTTCTCACAACCCTGGGTATCACTGTGCAGGTTAACTGAATTATTATTATTATTACTTTTAATTATTTTTTTTTCTTCTCTCCATATTTGAGTTTTCCTATTCAAAGGCAAATAATTATAGACTTTCTTTGGCAAAACCAGGCTGAAAAAGGTGTACTTCAAGTCCAGAATGGCAAACCCCACCTGCTTATTCCTTAACTTGATTAATAAAGATATACACCATGAGTTGTATATATTCAACTTTTCTATTAATTGCCCTCAGATCTTGTACCAAACTATAGCTCTTGCCATCCAATTTTTCATTTGCAAGATTTGGTGTGTTTGGATTTCTATCCAATTTCTATCCAAAAAAGTAATCCAAAATCCAAAAAGTTGTTTTTATTTCTTTTATCCTCCTACAATCTTGTATCCTCAAAGGGCATTGCTTTACCGTGGTTGGGCTGGCTCCCATCTTTAACTTAACTTTCATTGGGCTGCATTTTAGATTCTGCCAGGCATCCCTGATGCCTTCAATCCTGTGTATACCCAATTTAGGATTTACGTAACTTCTGGAAGTACAACATTGCTTTTCCCAGTTTGTGTTAAAGCTAGACTTAAAATTTGCAGTCCATTGGTCTTGCTTGACAAGTAGCTCCAATTGTCTCTACTGAATTTGATCTCTACATTCAACTATTTTAACACGTCATGCCCAAATAATCATTTTGGAGATCCTGGCATGTACAAGAATTTATATATTCCTACTTGTTCTCCTAGCCTGTATTTAATTGGTCCAAAAAAAAGTAAACTTCTCTTGCCAGTAGCTGCTACAACTATTACGAAAATCATCTATGGGTAACAGTTCTTGATGTAGCACAGATAAGAGGCACCCAGAGGTACCAGAAGATAAACGTCTTCACCCTTCAGGAATAGATACTTCTGTCACTGGATGGTTGGAGTCCTGGTTTGGTGAATGGAAAGGGGTGACTGTATCCACATTTACTTCTTTGATAGTAGCAGCAGGAGCCTTGATGGCCACTGATTGCTGTGTTATCCCCTTTGTGAGGGGACTAGTAGAGTGATTGACAGAGAGAACACTATTGAAGCAAACACTAATGGAACCATTACATTTGGATAAAAAGATGGTATAAGAGGAGATGGGAGATAAAGTGAAGACGAGGGAGATATCTGTAAAAGTGAACCTTAAAAAAGAATTGCAGAAATCAATAATGTATAAAAAAAGAAAAAGGGGGGAATTGTGGGAATCAAATGTTGTTTCTGCATTAGAATTGTATAATATTATTTTTGTTTTCTGATCTCCGCTATCATAGTTCTTTTTGGGAGTCCTTCTACTTAACTTGGGGAAGATCTCTGATAAGTTTACATCACTTATCCTCTAGACGATCCTTCCCAGGAATGCACACTCTGTATATAGGTGTATATATGTATATTTTGTCATACACACTGCAAGAATATCCTGCACGAGAGCAAACCAGAAAACAAGCCATGGCATGCCCAGGAAGCGCC